AACTCTGGCTATCCTGGAACTCACTCTAGCCTCAAACTCACAGAGATCCATCTGTCTCTGCTTCCCGAAGACAGGATTAAAGGCATGCAGCACCACTGCCTGGCACATGTGCAAATCTTGCTGGCTCTGCTTCCAGAAACATTCCCGTAAGCTAGGTCCCCCCACCTTGTCCCCAGCACTCGTGTCTAGGCTCCCACCGTGTCAGCTGTACTGTAGCAGCTACCTCGGTCTCTCGCTTCTGTTTCAACTTGTATTTGTACAATTGCCTTTGAGTCGGGACTAGGTCCGTTGCTTGACAGTACATTAACTCAACTTAGAAAAGCAACTTTGGTGAGCAGATGAATGCCCTTCACAGACTATGCAATCTTTCATCACGGGGGAGTTTGATTTTGCAAGGCTCCTTTGTAAACGGAAGAGCAGGACTTCAAAGGAGAAGGAACAGAGCAGCCTCCGGCTCCTGGAACAGGGGATTCAGCAGCTGCAATGCTGCTTCTTTTCTCTTGCTCTTTTGCCTGGGGTTTGAGGCAGGAAATTCTCTGGCTTGGGCCATTAGTCTATCCCAGCCTATCTAGTCTTTGCAGACGAATGTGTTTGAAGCTCCCTTCTCCATGGCCATGAGGTTTGCTTGTTGCTCCCCTTCTACCCCGTTTGTTTCACTGCTCTGAGCGGTATCTCAGAAGCCCTACCTACCCCATCCTGCACTTGGATTTTACCAGTGGGAGCTAGAAGCATCATTGTGAATCCTCCTGTATAGGCTTTATTGGGCAAAGTCTAAACTGAGGCACACTCTATAATAAAAAGGCCAGTGAAGGGGCAGGCTGTCTCCTTATTCCATCTTAAATTCTATATTTTCCTTTCACGTGCACTTTGAAGAATATATTGTTCTTGGCCACAAATACACAGTCTGATTTCTTGTCTGGGTATTGTTTTGTTTTGCTTTGCTCCATTATTTTCTTTCTAGATTTAGTCATCTTATTTCGTATATATAAAAGTTTTGCCTATGAATATATATGTGCACCACATGCAGTGCCCTTGGTGGCCAGAAGAGGGTGTCAGATCCCCTGGAACTGGAAGAGGAGCAGGTGCTCTTCTAAACCAAGTCTCCAGCCCAGAGCTTTGCTTTAAAAAAAAAAGAAATCCAGGTAGTGGTGCTGCAAACCTTTAATCCCAGCACTCAGGAGGCAGAGGCAAACAGATCTCTTGAGATTGGGGCCAGCTTCATCTACAGAGTGAGTTCCAGGCTGATTAGGGCTGTTACACAGAGAAACCTTGTCTCAAAAAGTGTTGATATTGCTGATAATAGAGTGTAGGCTAAAAACAGGAACAAAAAAAAATAAATAAAAAAAAAAAAAAAAAAAAAAAAAAAAAAAAGAATAAAAAATGCAATATAATTGAAGCACAAGATAAGAACTTCAAAGCAGCAACTATAAATATGTTCAAGGACCTTTAGAGGATAAGAATAAATCCCTTAATGAAGACACTGAAAGCACAAACTATTAAATGAAATACTGAAAACGGCTGAGAGATGAAAGTAGAAATAGAATCACTAAAGAAACCACGAACTACAATAAAACTAGAAATGAAAATTTTAGGATGTCCAAGAGAAACCTCAGAATCAGTGCCTCATTCAGTCAGCATCAGAGAGGCTCCTTCCTGCAGATGGAAGCTAACACAAAGATCCACACCTGGAAAATGTGCAGGAAGTAGAGACTGTGGAGCGCTCACGCTAAAGCCGCTGTCTTCATCGGACTCCGCCCTCAGGCCTCGGGGATCTAGTCAAAAGGAGAGGCGTAAAGAATGTAGGAGACAGAGAAATCCTGTCTCGAAACACCAAACTTTCTAGCTCTGGCTGGTCTGCAGTTCGCAATATAGCCCAGGTTACCCTCAAACTCACAAAGATCTACCTTCTTCTGCCTCTTGAATGCTGGGCTTAAAGGCTTATGACATCGTATCCTGCCTCAACATTCCACTTTTGAGTAAAAAAGCAACATTTTGATTTCTTGCTAGTTTATCTTAAGAATAGACTTTCTGGATGGTGGCGCACGCCTTTAATCCCAGCACTTGGGGGATAGGGCAGGAGGATCTCTGAGTTCAAGACCAACCTAGTCTACAGAGAAAATTCAAGGACAGTCAGAGCTACACAGAGAAACTCTGACTGGGGGGGAAGAGGGATTCCTACAAATAAGACAGGAAGTGTCAATTGTCTTTCAGCCTCCTTCGAAAAGCAACAAGGGTGGCGAGACTTTGTGGGGAAGGGAAAGGAGAGCAGGAACTGGAGTGTAACTCCTTAGACAGGGTGCTTGCCTGCCGTGCACAAAGCTCTGGGTTTGATACCCAGAAACACCCAAACGTGAGGGTGCTGGGTGCTTGTGGTCCTAGTACTTTTCAAGAAGTGAAGTTCAAGGCCATCCTAGGCTGTGTAGTAAGCCTGAAATAACAATGTACAATAGATGCACTGGGAAATCAGGTGATGAGTTGACATACCTTCCCATTTTTAGGAGAATGCCATTAAAAAGTTGCAAAGTCTCATTTTAAATTTTTGTTATTATTTGTGGTGTGAGAGCAGGGGTGAAGGAGGGAGGGAAAGGGAGAGAGAAGATAGACAGATTGCCGGTGTGTCCATGTCATGGGGTGGGTGTGGAGGCTGAGGGAGAACTTCCACCACAAGAGCTGGGATCACAGCCAGGTGGTCGGGCTATTGCAACAGGAGTTCCCAGCTGCTGAGCCAATGCTTCTCACCCTTCCTGGCGTTGCAACCCTTAACACAGCTCCTCATGCTGTGGAACCCCAACCATACAATTCTTTAATTTTTTTTTGTTTTTGTTTTTCGAGACAGGGTTTCTCTATGGTTTTGGAGCCTGTCCTGGAACTAGCTCTTGTAGACCAGGCTGGTCTCGAACTCACAGACATACAATTCTTTTCATTGCTATTTCCTGTCATTGTGCTACTGTTATCAATCATAATGTGAATAAGGGATATGCAGATGGTCTTGGGCTGCTTCTGTGAAGGGGCTGTTTGTGACTCACAGGTTGAGAAACACTCTTCATCTTGCTGGCTTAGCTGTCAAATTTTTAAAAATATTTTTGCTGGGTTTATTTATTTCTATGCGCATTGGTGTTCTGCAAGTATGTCTGTGTGAGGATGCCAGATCCCCTGGAACTGAAATTATAAACAGTTGTGAGCTGCCATGTGGGTATGGGAATTGAATCCAGGTCCTCTGCAAGAGCAGACAGTGCTCGTACCCGCTGAGCCGTCACTTGGGCACCATCAGCTGTCAAATTTTAAATGCTGATAATCAGTTCAAATTTCTCTAACATACTGTGAAGGCCAACAGGTGGAGGCAAAGAAAGATGGAAAGGAAAGGCAATGTGTTGGATCTGGCCTGAGCTGGTATTCATACTCTTCCTAGTGTTGGACTCTAGCGTCCAAACACCGAGGAGGAGTCGCCCCCCGAGACCATCTCACACACCACAGCCGATGCAAAAGCATGAGGATTTTATTAATTCTGTCATGACAGGGTCCCCCAGCATTTGGGAAGCTGAGAGACCTCGAATAGCTGGTACAGTCTACTTTTAAAGGGGCCACAGAAGCAAGGGGGGTTGTTCTTTGACTATTCTGATTGGCTTATTTGAAAGGGCTATTACCAATAATTGACTGGAGAGCTGTTGACAGATCAGATGAGGTAAGAGGTCATTTTGACCCCGTTTCCCAGGGGACAGAAACAAAACATACGTAAATGGGTAATTGTTCAGGAACTGAGTACGTGCGAGTGTAGCTGTTAGGTCCTTGGTTCCCAGGGGAGGAGGGGAAGCACTATGGCACAGAGGCTGAGAGGATTCAGAATTGTCAAAAATGGCTTCAGGATTGTCTTAAGTCTTACACTAGAAAGACTCCTGGTCCAGACTGGCTCCAAAGATTGGCTCCAAGAAGTTGCACCCAAACTACAAACACGGGGTACAATAGAACTAGAATCCAAGTCCTTGGGAGTCCCACAAGGCAATAATACAGGTATTTATTTACTTGGTCTTTCGATTGTTTTCTATTTTATGTATGAATTGACCAAATGTAAATGACATGTGTGTGTGTGTGTGAATGTATGCGTGCCTCTGTGTGTGTGTGTGTGCTTGCAGCCCTCTTGTGTCTGGTTCAGGCTTGTGTTAGGTAGGACTTTCAAGGCTAAATAATAGTTCTGCACTAATCTGTCTACTGAAGGGTTACTTTTGTATAATTACATTAAATTAAAATTGTGTTAAGGGCTGGAGAGATGGCTCAGAGGTTAAGAGAACCCACAACTCTTCCAGAGGTCCTGAGTTTAAGACCCAGCAACATCATGGTGGTTCACAACCATCTATAATGAGATCTGATGCCTCTTCTGGCTGCAGGAATATAGGCAGACAGAACACTGTATACATAATAATAAATCAGTCAGAACACTGTATACATAAATAAATAAACCTTAAAAAATCTTTTTTAAAGCAATGATTCCCCTCGGGGCAAGTGAACCCTGAGGGAGCGAAATCTATTATGTTAGAAGATATTACCGCCTGCTTAGAGGTGATATTTCCAAATCATCGTGCATTTTGTGGAAAACCGCGTTTTTTATGTCTGTTCATTGATTCAAAACACACCTACACCAGACTAGTTGGTTTCTTCATTTTCCTTTCCGATTCGCTGGGGAGCATTTTACCGTGATTGGCTAAAGCCTTTGCCAGTCGTCTTTCCGGACTTACGACAGGAAGAACTGGAAGAAAGGGGTGGGGGAAAAGTGCCCAGAACTCAGCCTTTTTACTGGCTCCAGTAGGAACACACGCTTAGTGCGTAGCAATTCCAATTTGTGATTGGCTTATCTGTCCGCCAGTCAGACCACCGTAAACCAGTGTTCTCCTTATACTCTGCCTTCCTTGCCTGATTGGCTGGGTTGTACATGTTCTGCAGTGTCTGATTGGTCCGACGCTTTACGCGGCCCGGCCTGCCCGTACTCTGTTGCCGTGGTTGCAGGCCCCGCCCTCCCGCTCGCTGACAGCGAGGCTTCTCCTGGAGGGAAGTGGGTCCGTTGGTCGGTCTGGAACGAAGCTGGCGCTGCCAGGCCCGCGCCTAGCCGTTGCCATGGCAGCCACCGGCGGGGGCGCGGATGACGAGTCCCGATCCGGCCGCTCGAGCTCCGACGGCGAATGCGCGGTGGCGCCGGAGCCGCTGGCGGAAACCGGAGGCCTGTTCTCCTTCGCGGACCTAGGCGCTGCGCTGGGCGGCGGTGCAGGCCTCCAGGGCCGGGCAGCCGGCAGGGCCCAGTCCCCGCTGCGCTACCTCCAGGTCCTGTGGCAGCAGGACACCGAGCCACGCGATGAACTGCGCTGCAAGATCCCCGCCGGACGGCTGAGGCGTGCTGCCAGGCCCCACCGCCGGCTCGGGCCCACGGGCAAGGAGGTGCACGGTGAGCTCAGCCAGGGATCCTGGGATCGCTCGTGAGTGATCGCAGTAGTTAGAGCTAACGAGGACCGTGTCTTCGGCCACTTGGACATCACTAAAAAAATCTTTCCACTCTTGAGGGTGGTTTTTAGTAGACAATAATGTGGGACGATTGAGAATATTTTTTATTATTAAAGAAAGAAGCCAAGAGCCTGCGCCTATGCCATACCTACTTGTGTGAATGCACAGATCTGAACCAGACTGCTCCACATGTGGCCCTTACACACCTACAGACACTTGTAGCCCCAGTTTTCTATATGTAGAATGGGTGCACTACTAGCTTTACTGGGGTATTAAGAGTTAGGTTCGCACACCTTTAATTCCAGCACTCGGGAGGCAGAGGCAGGCGGATCTCTGTGAGTTCGAGGCCAGCCTGGTCTACAAGAGCTAGTTCCAGGACAGGTCCAAAGCTACGAGAAACCCTGTCTCGAATAAGAAAAAAAAAAGTAAGGTTCTGCTTATAAAGTCTACCCATATGATGGACAAACATTCATTTGATTCACAAACTTTTATAATCATTTCAAGAGATAGATTGTGACCCATGAGAAGTGACTTGTACAGAATTTGCTGTAGGCGAGAAAAACGGCCAGGTGTGATGCTGCACACCTGTAATCCTGAGGCGGCAGAGGTGGTAGAGAAAGATCTCTGTGAGTTCAAGGTTAGCCTGGTTTAAGTAGCAAGTTCCAGGTCCACAGTGTGAATCCTGCAGATTGCACTGGGGAGTTAGGTTTTGTAGCAAGCATTTTTTCCCACTGAGCCATCTCAGCATCCCTAAATAGAACACATATTATCACATCAAGTCCAGTTACTCCCATCTGGACTGCTGATCTCAAGTCACATAGAAAAAGGTTGTACCGTAGTCCAACTCAGGTCAGTCAGACCATCCTGGTATATCTGCTATATTGTTTTCTACAGTTTGTGGGTGAAAAGGAAAATGGGGTGCAGAAGGATTAAGAATGGAAAGTTTTTTGTAAGATTTATTATGTATACAGTATTCAGTGGTCTGCTTGCATGTATCCCTACACTCCTGAAGAGGATACCAGATCTCATTTATAGATGGTTGTGAGCCATCATATGGTTGCTGAAAATTGAACTCAGTACCTCTAAAGAACAGCCAGTCCTCTTAATCTCTGGGCCACATCTCCAGCCCCAAGAATGGAAAGTTTTAAGGTCTCTTCAGACTAGCACCATTTGACCTGGTGTCTTAAAAGTCAAAAGAGGGTCGGGCAATGGTGTCCCTGTCTTTAATCCCAGCACTCGGGAGGCAGAGACAGGCAGATCTCTGTGAGTTCGAGGCCAGCCTGACCTACAGAGTGAGTTCTAGGACAGCCAGGGCTACACAGAGAAACCCTGACTCAAAAAAGTTTAAAAGAGAATTTCAAAGTTCTGTAACAAAAAAGTGCATATAGATGCCTGCAATTGTTATATCTAGTTTGCATTTTTTTGACCATTCTCAGACAAGAGGTTGTTGTTAGTTTTGTTCTAAAGTAGAGGCAGAATCAGTGCAAAGAGGGCAAAGAAGTTTCTGCTTGGGAATTACCATGTTTGGTAAGTCATTTAGGAATGACCGCTGTGAAGAATAATAATAAAAGCTTGGGTGTGATTATCTTACAAAGGACTAAGCAAACCCTCTCATTCATCCTATTTTAAAAATATTATCTCAATTTTCTTTGTAACAACTTAAGAGCTGGCCAAACAACTCAGCCTTGTTTTATGGATGATGGGCTGGGGCCCAGGGTAAGTAACTTTCTTGCTCAAGGTCGCCAGCTACCACAAGTGGCAGAAATTAGATCTGGCTCCAGAAGTCAGTTTGCTACAGAAATTGTTCTCTCCTCCAACTGTGGCCCAGTTCCAGTTTCTCCTTGTTCCCAGACTGGTGGTTTCTGTCCCGACACCTTTGCCTTTATGTACTGCTGTGATTGAAGGGTAGACTGTCAGGGAAAGCTCAGAAGCCATGTGCCTTCTGCTTTGTTATGCTCATTTTTTTTAACTGTCTTTTCTGTTTTTATAGCTCTGAAGAGGCTGAGGGACTCGGCCAATGCCAATGATGTAGAAACAGGTGAGTGTGCACAGTGGGACCTGTGGGCTGATGGGGAAGGGAAAAGCCAGCTCACCCTCCTTCCCTTGGGGCATGCTCACCTTGTTCACTCCCTGACTCTGAAGTCACTGCAAAACAGAAGTAGGGTGTAGGACTCCCTCACTGTCTCACCATGCCCCTCTGTTACCAGTGTCTCCTGGTGTCACAGTGCTCTGTATGCTTCCTGATGCTAGGGACCATTCCAGTGTTTTGTGTTTTTCTTTAAATCATTGGGGTTCAGCATAGCCCTCAGCAAAGAGCAAGTGCCCACTTTTGGTAGGAGTGACCTCCAGGTTTTTCTCCTACCCACCAGTTCCTGAATAACCACTCTGAGGCTTAATATTAGTTATAAACTGTTTGGCCTTTTATCTCAGGCTTATTATTAACTAGCTCTTACAACTTAAATGAACCCTTTTCTATTATTCTACATTTTACCACGAGGCTCGTGGCTTGTTACTTCACATCTTTCTTCTCCAGTGGCTGCTGGCACCTCCCTGATTCTGCCTTCCTTGTCCTTGTATCTTTGCTTGGATTTTCCACCTGACTCTGTTCTGCCTGGCTACTGGCCAAATCAGCTTCTTTATTAACCAGTGGTAATAAAACATATTCACAGCATACCGAAGGGCATCCCGCATCAGTGAACACTCCCTTGACTGCCGGGTAATCATCTGGCACCCCTGGCTCTCCAGTGACTGGTCCTCAGACCTGTTACTGAAAGGGCGTCTCACAAGCATGGGTGGGGTCCCTGCAGGACACTGTAGCTGACTTTCTGTTGCTGCTTCCGAGCATTCCCTAACTGAGGTAGAGCATCAGAGGTACAAGGGCAGCTTCTAGGACAAATGCTACTGCTACTACCACTGCTGCTACTAATTTAATCTGCTAACAATACCTCCCATGTGTCAGGGGAAGTGACGTGTTGGGTTACTGTGGCTGCTGTATCGTCAGACTTTGTCATGGTGACAAACTTGCACCTAAGGAAGGAGATTACTTTTGCTCCTGAATTCAGATCTTTTTAAAAAAATTTTTTTTTAAATATTTATTTATTATATATACAATATTCTGTCTGTATGTATGCCTACAGGCCAAAAGAAGGCACCAGATCTCATTACAGATGGTTGTGAGCTACCATGTGGTTGCTGGGAATTGAACTCAGGACCTTTGGAAGAGCAGACAATGCTCTTAACTAACTGCGGAGGCATCTCACCAGCCCCGAATTCAGATCTTTTAGTGCTCAGCTCATCTACTCCATTCAGACCTCAGTGCAGTGGAGTATGCTCTAATCCTAGAATTTAGGAGGCAGAGGTGGTTGGATGACTATTAAGGCCAGTCTGGTCTACACAGCAAATTCTACAAAAGCCTGGGGTATAGAGGGAGATAAAAATAATAGGTTTGGCCTAGTGAATGGCTCAGTGGGTAAGAGTACTTGCCATAAAAGCAAGAGGACCTGAGTTCAAATCCCTAGGACCCATGTAAAAAAGTCAGGCATGGCTCCATGTACCTGTAACCCCAGCATCAGGGTTGGAGACAGGTAGATCCTAGGAGCTTGGTGGCCAGCCATCCGAACTGCAGCAGGAATCTACAGGTTCACTAAGAGACCTTGTATCGTAAAATAAAGTGGCAAATGACAGAGGATCCCTGATGCCCTCTTCTGGTCCCTGCTGCACACACATAGGCACATGCACTTGTACATACCATGATCAGAAACCATACATACTCAAAAACACAAAAAGATGAATAAATTAAAAAGCAAAACAAAGCAAGTTTCCATTGGTTGTTGCTGGAGGGCATGGCAGAAGAGGTCAGTGTCCCTGTGGCAGGAAGCAGGGAGCGTGCATGTGCTTTCAGGCTCCCTCCTCTTTCCTGCCCTTCTGGGCCCGCAACCTATGGGATGGTGCTGCCCCACTCAGGGTGGGAATTCCCTCCTTCCCGAATCTTCTCTGAGAATGCCCTCATAGGTTCACACTGATGGTGATCTAGGCACGTCTCTGATCAAGTCAGGATTCACCGTCAAGAAAGGCCTCCACAAATGACCTACGTTCAGTGCTCAGCATCACCAGTGGCATGGACAGTTCTGCAGGTCACACTTCCAGGCCAGGCCAAAACTCCATGTGTCTGCATTTCTGGAGGGTCGTGGGAAGAATCTGTTTCTCTTTGCTTTGCAACTTCTAAGTTGCCAGGCCTCTCTTAGGCCTCTTTGTCATCCACAAACCCCTAACAGTGGGCTGAGCCCTCATCTTGCCTTCTCTAGATTATTAAGTAGGAAAGGGTCCCCTGGTTTATAGGACTCATTCAGTTCCACTGGGCCTGGATGATCCAGCAATGTCTCCATAGTTTAGAGTCTTTAGCCTTGTGCAGATCTGCAGAAATTGCTTTTGCCTTGGAAGTAACATCCACAAAATTTGAGGGCCATTATTCTGCCTCCCTCCAGGGTACAGCATTCTGATTTGGTGGTGGGCTGTTGTGGCAACAGGTAAGATGTGGACAGTGAGGGGCCATGGTTACAGGAGCCCCTTACAGCAGTCATGGGATAGGCACAGTTATCTCAGGGACCTGCTTCCAGATGGTTCCTTTGCTTTTGGCTCAGCAGTAGTCAGCAGGCCCAGAACCTGGAAGGTTTGTCCACTTCTTGCCTTGGTCTGTTTTCCATGAAATTTAACGTTTGAGGATAGTTGAGCATCAACTTAGAAAGTTTTGCAATGAAAGATAATAGACATTATTTTTTCATGTTTATTGTTTTGGGGAGCATGTGTGTGCTTGTAGATGTCATTGTACAACTTATGTGTGTAGGAGGAAGGCCCGCTTGTTTGTCCTGCAGCTCAGTTCCCAGCTACCCTGCTAGCTTAGCCCCGAAATAACCACACAGAAACTGTATTCATTAAATCACTGCTTGGCCCATTAGCTCTAACTTCTTATTGGCTACTAACTCTTACATATTAATTTAACCCATTTCTATTAATCTGTATATTACCACCACGTGGCAGTGGCTTACTGGCAAAGATTCAGCATGTCTGACTCTGGCAGCTTCATGGCGGCTCTCTGATCCCGCCCTTCTTCCTCTCAGCATTCAGTCCACTCCTCTCCACCTACCTAAGTACTGCCCTATCGGGCCAAGGCAGTTTCTTTATTCATTAACCAATACAAGCAACACATAGACAGAAGGACCTCCCATACCATACATGTACTTGCTCCCTCCTTCCACCACGTGGTTTCAGTGATTGAACTCAGATCATCAGGTTAGACCCTTCCTGCCCACCCGGCCACTTTTTAAAAACCATCTTTCCTTAGAGTCCAGCTCTTAAGAAACCCCTCTCAGGGTCCAATCAAAGACACCACAGTAAGCAAAGGGGACTAAAGTCTGGGGGTTAAAAAATCTACTCACAACAGGATTTGTCTATCCATGTTCCTTTATTCTTCTCTTTTTCTCTTCTTAATTAATTCTCCTGTCACAAACATTCCCAGTAATATATGCCCTTATAACCAGCTGTTCCCCAGCCCTAGCAGGTTCGAGGACTGGAATGCTTTTTCCCTGTAAAAAAGTTTTCACACACATGTGCGTGCTCACATACACACATGCGCATACACGGAGCTGTGGCTGTCAGTTCAAAGGTGGGTGTGGCTAGCACACGTTCTTAATGGAGAAAGTTAAGAAAGGAATTACATCATTAGGGAATTCTAGATGGAATGCTATATTTTAGGTGGTAAATAAAAGATCAGTTTAGTTTACTTTAATTTCAGTTACTTTAATAAAGATTTATTAAAATTTTATTTTATAAAATTATGAATAGGGCACAAAGTGTGTTTTAAATCAGTGCGCAGCTTATCTCCCAGCATGCGTACAGGATACTGGTAACCAGGCAACATATGTAAACAGTCTGGGGGTTTGCAGGGAAGCTAATGGCTCCTGATCTGATTAGCACATTCACCATGTCTAGGTCTGGAGTTTACATTTATTGCTCTAGGTGGTAGAAACAAAGAGGAGACCCAGGCCTCTAAATTATCAGTTCCAGGGTATGCTGTTATCAGCTGTTCTGATCAGGGGGAGTTGGGGGTCTTTAGGTCGCTGTTAATTATCTCTTCTGCTGTCCTTGAGAGTAAAACACAAGCAGTAAATTTCCTGAACTAAAATCATCAGTAAACTGAGGTGAAGGTGAGCATAAGGAGTTAGGAATCTTTTGAGTGAGGTAAAACCAGAGCATGCGGATTCTGCTACCTATCTAAGCAGCTATGAATCAGCAGCTTGGGCAAGCAGTAATTCTGTGTCCTTAGACAGCTGTGAACATCGCAAATGAGATGCTCTTGCCTGGACCCTGAACACTGACCAATGCCTGCTGATAAAGATAACTGCAGGAAGGCAGCTCTCTGCATTTACCTAGAAGAGAGGAACGAAGGCCTGGCAGTGGGAAACTGCTTTCTCGTGTAGCTAGGGGAATGTGATTAGTAAGCCCCAAAGGTACAGGAGACAGTTCGGAACTGTGGGAATTAGTTCCTAAATACGTAACAGAAGGGGCGTTAGCTACATTGAAAAGCTACAGCAAAAAGACACCCCCTTTATTCCCAAAGCAACAACACTGAAATTTCCTTGAATTATGGCTTAACCTTTACCAGGGCCCCTGACTCTGATAAGTCACTGGTGAAAAGATGGCTGAGCAATACTGTATAATGTTGTGGCTTGTGGCAGAGAATAGGATTGGGGCTGATGTCTTTCAGTTTGGCCTTGAACTTGTGATTCTCCTGTCTCTGTTTCTAGAGTGCTGTGGTTACAAGAGTGTGACATGACACCCAGCTGGTCAGCCAGTCAGCAACAGTAATGGGGCAGCACTTACGGGGCACCATGCCTCATACAAAGCTATAAACCCGAAATATAGTTGAGGAGGAAGACGATAAAGCGACACCAGTTCAAAGCCAGACGGAGCTGAGTGCTGTACACCTTTCATCCCAGCACTCGGGAGGCAGAGGCAGGTGGATCTTGGTCAGTTTGAGGCTCCAGGACAGCCAGGGCTACATACAGTGAAACCCTGTCTCAAAAAACCAAAGGACAAACCAAAGCAAACCAAACAAAATAAATGCAGGCAGGAATGCAAAATGCAGCAGTGATGTGCTGAGCTGGAGCAGAGACGCCAATTTGCAGCCCACTTTGCCTCTTTTCACCTGGGTCACTGTGGCCTATGAACCTCACATCTCACGGGGCCAAAGTGTCCTGGTCTGTGAAGTGGATGTGACACCTTGCATGGCTATTGTCAGGCTGCTGCCTGGCCAGAATTCCAAGTACACTGTACAGTGAGCTCTGTTCTAGGATGAACAGTCCCCTGCTGTTAAAGAACAGGATGGGCAGGATGTGGGAGAAATGTGGGAGAGGAGAGGCTGACTCAGCTGGGGCGAGTTACATGGACAGGAAGCAGTTTGGACTTTGACTGGAGGACTCAGATCCTTGAGGGGGCTTCTGGGAAAAAGACTAAAACGTCACTGACGCTGAAAGGACTGGCAGCAATTTTCCCCACTTCTTGGTCATTAGTGCATAATGTCTCCCCCTTTTCAGGGCCCCGCTCTGTCAGAGAAGGAATAACACATCCATTATTTCCGTCACAGCGGCTCTGCAGGCGGCAGCGCGGAGATGATGCCCATTTTCTGTGACTGCTGTGCACATCCAGGCCTCCGTGCCTGTTCCCATCCCAGCTCCTGCCACCGCCTCATGCTGATGCTGTGTGCTCCTTTTCTGCTTAGTTTAGCTTGGGATTTTATGCGTCCCTGGAGCTTATGCTCTCTCCCTTTCAAAGTGCGACCTCTTGAGAACCAAGTACCAGCCGGTAGCTTGCTCAGCTGTGTCCAGATGGAATGAAAATGTACCTAAGCATGGAGACAGAGGGATGGGGCCACTCCCTGTGCTAGAATTACTGTGCCCTGCAGTTCCTACCATAAAGATCAAGAGCCTCTTCTGATGTTCTGTCCAGTCCCTAGACACACAGGTTAAAACGGATCCATGGCCATTAAGATAACAGAATTCTCCTTGGGGCCAGTAGTCCCTGAGGGGCCAGCATCTAGGAGGGACCAACTTTGCTGTGAATTATGAATGGCTCATCTGGAGGGACCCTTGAGCATCATCGTCCATCCCTAGGGACTGTAGCATAGCTAACACTACTGCTTTTTCCCCTTTCTCCCTCATCTTGGTGGTCAGTGCAGCAGCTGCTGGAAGATGGCACGGACCCCTGCGCAGCTGACGACAAAGGCCGCACAGCCCTCCATTTTGCCTCCTGCAATGGCAACGACCAGATTGGTGAGTCCTGGGGAAGCAATAGGAATTGGTCAAGGCCAATGACATCCTTCTAAATGAAACGGGGGAGGAATTGCTGTCTGCATGCTGGGGGGAGGGCTGGGGTGTGGGATTGGGAAGACTTGTGACAGGAGCCCTCAAGTGCTAGGATTACAGATGTGTGCCACCATCCTGGCTTGGTGAGCAGTCATTCACTTAATAAGCAGAGGTCCTTGTTAATGAATCCAGTGGGGGGGGGCAGGGTCTCATGTAGTCCAGTCTGGCCTCACAGCTGCTGTGCTGCTGAGAACGCCCACAAACTGATCTTGCGTCCGTCTCCTGAATGCTAGAATTACAGGTGTCCACACTGTTACACCTGGGCCAGGTTTTTTGTTTGTTTTTTTCTTTTGTGGTCCTGGGGATAAAACCCAGGGGCTTCACTCATGTTGGCAAGGGCTCCACCACTAAGATTCATCCCCAGCCCTCTTCTTACTTTTTATTTTGTTGTTCAGGCTGGCCTTGAGCTCATGCTACAAACCAGGTAGGCCTAGAACTTGAGACCCTCCAGCCTCAGACCCCTGGATAGCTAGACTCACAGACCTAAGTCCCCAGGCCCAGCTATAGTGCCCTGGTTGCCAGAAGTTTTTTTTTTTTTCTGTGTGTGTCTCTTACAGAGATGGTCACCTATTTCATTCTAGAGATGGGACACTGTTACAGTTCCCATTTTGTCTATGGCCAGTCCCTCTGGAATTAGATTTTGTTCTTTTGTGAGACTCAGCCTGGCTCTCCAATACAATGTCCTTAACCTAAATGATTCCATCTGGGAGGTTGGCAAGCCTTGGCAACATGAGGCAGCCCAGGACAGCTGAAGAGGGGCGTCTGCTCATGGAGCACAGTGCAGCCTGCTGCCGTATAGGGAATAGAAAATACTTTCAGGAGCCTTCCCCAGTATGTTCCTCAGTCAGATAGGACCAAGAGGTCAAGAGACTAACTCTCCTACAGAGCTTGGTTCTGGACCCTTGGGGTCTACACATAAACCCTGTGGAGCACATAAATGATGGAGTGCATGTAACAGCATTGGGGAGCCATGTCCAGGTCCTGCATTCCACACTCCGGGAAGCCTCTGCTGGCTTCAGGTGAGGTTTAGTTGGTGGGAACCTCTAACAGTAGATCTTGGATTTTTCCTTCTTCAGTGCAACTTCTCCTGGACCATGGGGCTGACCCCAACCAACAGGATGGTCTGGGCAACACACCATTGCACCTGGGTAAGTCCTCGAAAGCCACAAGGTAGGCTTCCTAGGGCTCTGCAGGTCCCAGGAGTGTCTCCTAGCATCCTGACAGAGCTTGAACCCCAAGGATGCATTCCCCAGTCTGTGTCCCACAGACCATTCGTTCACAGTAGGCTGCGCACTTGGCAGAGCTGTTGGTGCGCCCTGGACTGGCTGCAGCCACCTCTGCTAGGAAGTGGGTTGTGAGCCCTTTGGCTGTCCCAGCCTTGCTGTAGACTCACACCATCGATTATAGTGAGTCCTATCTCCAGGCCTCAGTTTCTCCAGCTGTACAGGGAGAAAATTGGACTTGATCTGAGTCCCGTCCAATAGTCTAACTGGTGACACTGTCTCGGGAGGTAAAGTGGCACAGGCACACGCAGGGACACAGATCTCTTCCCTGCTCTCCCCAGTTGTGATTCTTAAGTCTCTCTTTTTTCCGCAGCGGCTTGCACCAACCATGTGCCTGTCATCACCACGCTGCTCCGAGGAGGTATGTGGCTCCTTCCTCCACCTCTTCCTGCCTTCTCTCGTTCTCATGCCCAGCATGCTTCCTTCTCCCTGTTCCCACAGGGGCCCGTGTGGACGCCCTGGACAGAGCTGGCCGCACGCCCCTACACCTGGCCAAGTCGAAGCTGAACATTCTACAGGAGGGCCATTCCCAGTGCCTGGAGGCTGTCCGGCTGGAGGTGAAGCAGGTGAGCGATTCCTCCCTGGATGGGTACCACACTTAGCAGACCATTCGCCTCTGGCTTAGGTTTCCTGATTACATTGTTCCCCAACATCTCCACTCCATTACGCTAGTTGGTATAAAGTTGGGCCTGTGCCTGCCTTCTAGCCAGCAGCTCAGCTCCCATCTCCTTTCTCTCCTTTCAGATCATCCACATGCTACGGGAGTACCTGGAGCGCCTGGGGCGCCATGAGCAGCGGGAACGGCTGGATGACCTCTGTACCCGCCTCCAGATGACAAGTACCAAAGAGCAGGTGAGCTACAGCCACAGGACCTAGGGTGTCGCCACCACCATGGACCTCAGCTTCTGTCCACTTCCATGAAGCCACGGCGGCTGGTGTGCTCATGTCCCAGACTACCTGATGCCCAAGATAAACCATAGTCAGAGGGAAGGGTTGGTGACACCTAGGCCTTCACTGGTCAAGGACTGTGCTGAGCCCAACACAGAAGTCTCTAGCCCCCATCGTTGTCATTGACACACCAGGACGGGGGAAGCATCTGTGTACCCTGAAGAGAGGCAGTGCCTTCCTTGTGTGGTGACCCCCGGGTCAGTCTGGGTTTCTCTCTGCAGGTGGATGAAGTGACAGACCTCTTGGCCAGCTTCACCTCCCTCAGCCTGCAGATGCAGGGCATGGAGAAGAGGTAGCAAGGACGGCTCCTTGCTTTGCACCACCTCCTGCCCTCCGCTCTCGGTACAGGGAAAGCCCAGGGGACTCCGGAGTTCCACCTAGCTCTTGCCCTTAGATGCTGAGGGCAGAGCTGCTCCCAGACAGTCGGCATCATCTCTATGGGCCAGGACCACAGCCCCAGCTCCTGCTGCACATTGCCAGCCTCTGTAGCCAGCCTCCAGGCCTACATGTGCTGTCCTAGCAGACATCACTCCTCCTGTGGCCTCCCTATGTTCTCAGCAAGCCCCAGGGCCCCATTTCTTCCCAGCCATGGACTTATTATCATCTGGCTTAGGGTAGGTACTCTGAGGCCACCCTGGCTGCTATGGATATCTAAGATGGCCCTGCCCCCTACACCAGCACTTAAGTTTAGCCCTGCACCTGACTTTCAAGGACACACTGCAGTGCATGGGTGTCTCTGAGCAGAAGAGGGGCATTGCTGATGCCTAGGCCTTCATAAGACTAGGAAGGACCCTTTTTAGCCCAAAGAAAGATCTCCAACTCCTTGCCTCCCAGTCACTGAAACACTAGGGATGGGATCTGTTTTGCAGCCAAGTTGTGAGAGGGAGATAGTGGTTCATGTGCCCAGGTCCTCATCCCAGGAGCCTCGAGGCCTCAGATGGTGTGACAAGAGCCTGCACAGATATAACTAGAGGTCTTAGAGGATCCTGGATCATCTAGGTGGGCAGGGTAGCACCCCAGGGAGCCCTGTGGGAGGGAGGCAGGAGGTGATTGCTGCCGTGTGGATGTGAGAAGTAGAGGAAGAAGCTGGAGAAGGACAGTGAACCATTGCCCTCTGACCTCCCAGCAGGGACTGGCTCTGCTGGCACTGGACTTGAGCTCAGTGGGACACATGTTGGTGTCTAGCCTCCAGAACTGTGAGAATAAATCTGCTGTTTCAGCTGTTTGTTTTTAGTGGTGGCTTCTTGTAGTGACAACAGGAACTGACAAAGTAGCAGGGACTTGGACTCACTGCAGAGATCTCTTAGGTCTGCTGAACAGTGCCCTACCCTGTCCTGAAGGAGACGGCTGTGGTGTGGGCATGGGGGAGAATCCTCATATAGGAGCCCCCTCCGGACAGGGATTTGGCCACTGACTTCTAGTCCATGTTTGGCCTGGCATCGCCCCCATTTTCTCTCTTGCCAAACGGGAAGGCCTGGCTACTGGCAGAAGAGAGCCCATCTTCAGATGCCAGCTTGGTACTGAACAAGAAACTCAACCACTCCTCAGACCCTGGAGGAAGGACTGGGTGGGGGTTCAGCCCCCACCCCCTGTGGGGAAGGAAACCCATAGTTCCCTACTTTGGCAGGATTAGGAGGACAAAGTGTTTTAGCAGCCCCAAAATAAGAGGGGCAGTGCTGTCCCTGCTGAGTGACAAGAGGAACAAGGGACTCTGTATGGGGCAGACTTTCTCCTCTGCCTGGATGACCAGCTCTCTTTAAGTGACTTTCACTTCTTGGGGCCCATGGGCACAATTGATCTTGCTCTCTTCTTGGGGCTTCACTGGGGCTGGGTCATTACCTGGGGCAGGCTGGAGACCAAGACAGCAGAGAGGCAGGGTGGAAAGAAACCGCCCCTCTCAGGCCTTGGGCCTCCTCACCCTTCACCACCTGGAGAGAGCTAAGGCATGGTGACCAGCTCTCTGGCTGCTAGGGAAGGTACAGAAACCTCCGAACAGAGTAAGGTTTGTGTGGGGTCCACACTGGCATCCTGAAGAAAATCGACATTCAACGAAATTGGAACTCCAGCATTGGCATCCTGGAAGCAGGAGCTTGAAAAGCCACCAGGGTCCTCTGGGGCTGCCTGGGCGTACCAAGGACACCTTGCCCCAGGCTGTTGCTTTGAATTTGAACAGTGGAATGTTCTGGAACTTCAAAATTGCCCTGAAGTAACCCAGAATCTCTAAGACAACAGGACACAGTAGGACTAATTGATTCCTGAAACCTGGGCCTCCAGGAACAAGGAAGGCATCCTACATCCCCATTACTGCAGGCTGGGTCCCAAGAGCACCCTTGGCCCTAGCAGAGTGTCTGTTGCTAGCTCCCTCTCTGGCCGTGCAGACAGGGAAGGGAGGGCTTGATGCAGTAAGGTGGCTGCTGGGTCAATCGTCAAATACTGACCAGGTGGCCAGGCAATCTGCCTCATCCCATTTCCAGCCAGAATATTTCCTATAACCCCGAGTCAGTCTGAAGAGCCAGCCAGAGAGTCGGCCCAGACACCGGAGTGAGTCAGGAAACACAAGTGGGCCCTGGGCGATGGGCTGGGCAGCAGCAGGAAAGAACACAGCTGGAGTAGTCCTCCGGGGTTGGCTCTGGAGCCAGCTGACTGGACGCCACTGATGGAGAGGGTGCAGTGTTCAGAGGGGGGGGTAGCGGAGGGGCGGGGGGAGGGGGATCTTGGTTTTACCTCATTCCGACTGCTGCCTTCCTAACATGAACGATCCTTACTGAGCACCACGCATGTTCACACGTTCCAGGTGGGCCTGCTCTTGCTGCTGCCCACACCTGACCAAACAGGTTGGCCAGAGCCCCCCACCTAGGCAGCCAGATCCACCTCAAACTCATGTTATTTCTACCATGCCTGAAACCAGAGCTCCCTCACAATTCATTTCCTCACACAGGGTGACGATGGTATATGCTGAATGCCTCTGTGTGTCAGCAGGTGTTGGGTCTGTGACAGAGTGTTACTTGGTGTGTGTGTGTATGTACATATACATACATATATACATACATGTAT